GAAACTGCAGAGAGCTTGTCTGGAAAGCCGTTTTTCCAGTACAAAATTCCCTGCTTTGTGTACCCCGGGCACTTGCAGAGGTTTCTGTCACCGGGCTGTGAACATTCCCTCACACACTGACCCCGGGAGAGACTCGGTGCTGCTGTGGGACGCTGTGAGACCAGCCCGAATTTACACCGTGCAGGTTTCCCCCCCCCAGCCCTCGCTCAGTTCATCACAATCCCAAGTCTTGGGAGACATCCGAGGGGTGGGATGCTCAGTCCATTGCTCCAGTGCTGCAAAGGGACCCCTTTTAGTGGCTCTGTTTCCAGGGTGAGCACAGATGTAGCAAGGGTTTTCACTGCCCTTGGCATCCGTGTCCCCACCCAGCACAGAAATGGCAGTGAACAAAACCAGACCTGTGGGTTTTGCTGCTGTCATTGAAACCTGTGCTAAGGATTTGTCCTATTTCACCACTACACAACAGTTACAAGAGTAAAAACAGCAGATGCAAGTAGAACTAATAAAAATTATGTTTTACTGTCTTATCTACTCTAAAGGAATAATATCTTGAAATCAGTCAGCTGGGGAAGAAAAGCAATTCTTTTCAAAAATGACCTCCCTAATCAATACCAGGTATCAAAACTCAGCACAGCCCAGGTGTTAATACAGCAGCTTGATGGATGAAGGACAAACTACAAACCCCCTAGTTCCACCTCACGTATTTCAAAATGGACATTCTGACTGTTAAATTCTCTCCAAACCAAGAAACTTTACTGTATAAATTATTACAGCAGTTCTCAGAATGCTGGGTCAATAATTTTCTTCTTAACAATGAGTACACTAATGTCTTTTTTCTCTAGAATTACCATCAATTAATATTCTTCTTAGCAATGAACATGAGTTAAACAACAGTTTCACCAGAAGCAGAGTCCTTTTGCAGTGTTCATTGAATACATTAATCCTCAAACCCAACTTGCAATAATTGTCACAGACACCCCCTCAGTGTTACCCAGTGCTGACCCTCACTGCAGCTCCTCAGGGGAACTGGGTGGAGTGTTCCTTTCCTCCCTTTGCTGCTGAGTGTCCCCCTGCACTTCTTAAAACCCTGCTGCTGATGCCCATTTTATTTGCCACTCTATAAAAGGCATTAAGCCGTGAAGGAACGGACTGGAGAGGAGGATAAAAGGGACAGTTGGATGACAATAAAACAATTCAGCTTCGAGGGAGGAACACACACCACCCCCGAAGCTGTGGGTGGGTGTTTTGAGAGCACAAATCCAGCCACCACCAGGGCGAGAATGAGATTCCTTGTAACTTTGTAATTAGGGTTCATTCCAACAATGCCAGAGACACTTCCACCTTACAGGTTTGACTAATCGTCTGTCCAGCAAAACCAAGACCCCAGGCAAAGCAAAATACAGCTCCACTGACAGCACCCACAGCTGTTCTCCAAGGCCAGTCCATCAATTTATTCCGTCATTTCTCTCCCATACACACATTCCCTGGTGCAGGAAACTCAGCCTTGCAGCAACAGGAGACAGGAGTGTTCATGAGCAGCACCTGTGCAGGGAATTCCTCCTCCTGGTGACATTGCCACAGGTAAGGACACTGGGCAAATATTTAAAGAGCTAACGAGTAATGAAACGGGGTTTGCATCAGGACTCAGGAACTGGAAAGACGCAACAAAGTCATGCAGAGGGACAGAATGGGCAACAAAACCAGTCACTTCGACCTTTTCTATGCCTTGGACAACTGTGCTCAGTTACCTGTGTGCTTTGGGGCACGGGAAAGAACACTGCTGCATTAATATCAATAAAGTTATTAATGCTTATGTTGAAGCTGGGCTTGATTTAATGCCCTAAAATTTACATACTCTGACTTCCAAAACCTGAGGTTTTGTAAAACAACAATCAAACCCTGTCCTGGATGTGATTCTCACCTGCCAAGTGTCCTCCACTCACTAAATGCTGTTTTTTGTGGTGTCTTTTCCCCAACCTTTCCCATTACTCATCTGACCAGAAAATGGATGTGATCAATATTTATTGTGAAGACTCATTTCTCATAATTGTGAGCCCCAAGGAAGACAAGCTTATGTTGTGTCACAAACCCGTGCTGCATCAAGATTCAGGTGCCACTGGTGACTTTTAGAATTCAGTTTTGTCAAAACATCTGGGAGTTTACACAGATAAATGGGGTTTTTTTGCCACATTCCTTCACTGGATTTTTCTTTAGGCAGAAAGTGGGAAAGAGCAGCTTAATTTGCAAGGGGGGAAAGCTACCACTTGTACAGAGATCAGCATTTATAAAGAACAAAAAACCAATAACCTGGCTGAATTGTCCACTTGGGATTCGTGGTTTGCAATATGTTGGTTTTATCTTTTGCTCCAGTTTGGTTTTTTTTGCAAAGTCAACACCACGAGGAAAATCAGGTTTAATTAAAGAAGGAAACGAGCAGCACAGCAGTTTGCAAAGGGTGATTTGTACACGCAGGGGACCCCGAAGGCTCTGAAGGCTCTTCCCTCCATCAGACATCGAGTCTTTCTGATCTCTAAGGGTGAAAACCACCCTAAAAAAGGACCCAACACAACCCCCAGCAAGGCTTTCTCAGGCTTACCTGTCACACCCGGGAACCAGAGGAGGGAAAACACCTGGGATTGCCACGCAGGAGCAGCTGCCTGGGATACAGGGATGAGCAGCAACATGGACAGACCTGAGCAAGGAGAACAAGCCCCTGGGTTGTGGGGTCTGGGCTGCCCCAGGGGCAACAGAGGGACCCAGATGCTTTGGGGCCCAAGGGACAGCACCAGGAGGGGCAGAAGGGAAGCTAAGATTGAGGAGCAGTGCCGGGGGCTGGGGGACAATGAACCCCAAGGTGCGGGATTCCCTCCCCAGGTAAAACACTGTGGCTGCTCTCAGAGAACAGGCTGTGCCCCAGGACTCCCTCCCACCACAGCAGGGGAAAGGCTCTTACCTGAGGGGCTTCAACCAGCTCCTTCCAGAACCTTCTGGGCCAGGGGCTCCCTCAGGGGCTGAGGGGCCACACCCTCCCCTCAGGTGCCTCGGCCACACCCTCCCCTCAGGTGTTGAGAGGCCCCGCCCTTCCCTCAGGTGCCTCAGCCCAGCCCCTCACACACAGGTTTTAAGGTTTCAGCCCCAAACCCAGCACCAGGAGCTCCTGCAAAGTGCAGAAATCTCACAAGCAGCAACACCTGAGCGACCTTCCCTCGTTAACAGGCAATTAATTAAACTCCTCAAAGCACCTGCTTCACCTTTTCTCCTCGTTAAACCTCCAAATCGATGCCAGCTGTGAAAGGCAAGTTCCCGCCCGTGGTGGGGGCTGAGTCAGACGGTGTTTAAGGTCCCTTCCAACCCAAACCATTCCATGGCATTCTGGAAGTGATTCCATGGCATTCTGGAAGTGATCCCACGGCCCAGGAAGGATCCCAACCCACCTGCCCGTGCCCTGTGTTCCAGCTGACACAGCACTAGGTGAACTCTGGCACTGTGCATGTAACAAAACTGATGGGCTTCCAGCCTTTACCCAAGATCCCATTAACACAAGACCACAATATAAGAACTAACATCATTTTCAATTTACCCAGCAATAAAAATCCTCTCCAGCCCCTCTCCCCCTGCAGAATTCATCATTTTAAAGCCGGAAACTCAGAACCTTGTGGCAAGAAAGGGGCAGCCTGAGCCCATTCGAGTTCTACGTTAAGTACAAGGAATTAAAAAAGAAATGTCAAAATAAATAGCACATGTTCAAGCCAGGCTCAGGGGAAAAAAAAAAAATGGCACTTTCAGAAGCTATTTCCAGCAGACAAGAACTGACCTTCCCCTCATAAAATGCCACAGGGTATAAATAGAGCAGCCTCTCATGCCATTTGTCACGGAGACTCCTCTGTCTGCTCCGAGTCCTGGAAAACAGGACACTGTGCTCACAATGCTCCCAGCACTAATTAGCCTGGAGTCAAAATACCTCTTCTAGTCTATAATACTGCTTCTGAAAAAAAAAAAATCACAGATCAAAACCAAAGCAGAACCGGGTCAAGAATGCAGCTTTCCCATTCCCTTCTGAACAAGCCATTATTCTGCAAAGATACTCACCACGGCTCTCCATGGCATCCCAACACTTCCCTGAGTTTTGGGGATGCCAGTTATCACAAACTAAATAAGGAACCCTCACCAGCCAGCTCACACACACACACTGTGTAATCCCTGCTGGGTGCAGGACAGGGAGCCACTACAACGGACAGAAACATGTCACTTGAAGCCATTGGAAGGCAAATTTTAGCTTTTCAGAAGACAACGAAGAGAGTTCTTGTGCATCTCCCTCCCTACAATTACCTCTATGGAATGTGGTTCTTGCCAGCTCTACATCAGTTGTGTGCATGGCACAAAATAACATCTCTTTGGAAAAAATGTGCACAAACCCTCCTCTACTGGGGTGTATTTAGTGTATTATATTGAATTTCAAGCTTACACTTCATAAGTCATCAGGCCTCATTCTCCCTTGCAGGTTTTCTGAACACCTTAACTTCACAGGCAGATTTAAGAGATGACACTCTTTCCTACTCCACTGAAATTAGGGAATTGTCCTCTCTGGATTAGAAGTTCTCATCTTCCCACTGTTCTCTGGCTGACGCAGTGAGAGCTTCTGCACACTTTATACTTCATTTTAGCTACTGGTTTGTGCTCAGCCACTGTACACTGAAAATCCATGAAATCACATCCTTACACATCCATTCTTATCCATCTGACTGCTTAACTTCTGGAAAAAACATGCCAAAATTGAGCAGTGTGACCCTAGAGCAGCAACGTGCCTCGGGGATGCAGAGCTGGAACTGGACACGATGGTGGGGTTTGTGTGCTGTACATTTAAACCAAAATGATCTCAAAGAAGGAAAAAATAAAGCCAAAAAAAAGAGACAGGTTTGAACCACACATGCCAGCATCCCACATTATCCCAGATGAAAGCAACTCTTTCCCCCCCCAACTAACAACAATCAACAGACACATTTCGCTTGCAGGCAAAACCTGGCTGCTGTAGTGTAGCTTGGTTTTATTTATGTCCACAAATATTTCAAAAAAATTACAAAATACTCAAATGGAGAGAACACAGAAGTCACGATTTCTGGGTTTCTACTCTGTTTACACTGTGTTATCCCATGGCAAACTACTCATATATACATTAAGCTTCAAGATATATATAAATGTAGCAGTCAGAATGTACACTCTGCTTTAACGGTGCAGTGAAACAAGCTCAACCATGACGACATAGAACAAGAGAGAGACGTTTCAAAAACACTAAAGCAAAGTCTGAAAAATAAAACTTTCAGAACAGAGGAAAATTAAAAAAAAAAAAGGAAAGAGAGAGATTTCTTAAAAGAAAACCAAAAAGGTCTGGGTTGTTTTTTAACAGGGCATCGAACACCGAGATGGCTTCAAAAGCCACTGCATGTGAAGTTGTAGTTAATCACTGGGCTGAAATGGAAGAATTTCAGTGCTTATTTGCTGAATGATGTGAATAAAAGAACTCCCTTAAATTATTAGAATGCTTTTCTGTGGAAAAAAACCCAATAAATTTGAACAGACTGCCAACTTCAGCTGAAAAAGTAAGGAATACAGAGAGAGGACCACTGGAGGCAATTAGGTTTTTCTTAGAACTATGGCTAAAAATCAGCAAAGAGAAGGGTCAGAAGAAATGGCTGAAGTGGCTGAACTCCCCCAAATTCCACATGGTATAAAAAAAATGAGGGCAGAGATTGAACTGAAATGTGCCTCATCAGCCCTGTAAAGCAAACTGAGGCACCCTCTGCTGAGCAGACCCCTCTTCCTGGGTACTCAGCTCTGAGCAAAAGTAAAAAACTGTGCTCAGAAGGAAAACATTTCACCTGATCACTGCCCACATCAACTGAACACTTCACTTTCCTTGATTCCACACTGACCTCAGGGTTTGCCAGTCTCAGGAACACCAGCTGCTCCTCCTCAAACCTCCACACAGAGTTCAAACAGAGCAGCTGCAACTGGGTAAGTGTTACTGCAGTTCTTTAGCACTGAGAAATCTGGAATGGAGGGCAGAAAAAGGAGATCAGCATTAGCTGAAATAGTCCTCCTCTCTCTCTCCTCACTCTTGCCTTAAGTGAGCCCGGAAGAGGCGCATAAATTTAATTTAAATTGCTGTCACTGACTGTCCAACACCAACCTTCGGGCAGGTTTGAGGTGCAGGAGGTGGGTGAGCACTGTGCCTGCCACACCTTCCATCAGAACAACTGATTAACTACAAGTTTATCACAGGTGGCTCAGAACAGTCCTAGGACACAACCATCACACTGAACAGGCTACAACAGCAGAGAGAGAGCACTCATGAGCTGAGAGAGAGAATGGGGGGAAGTTGTGCACCAGCAGAAAAAAAAATGACCAGCACGTTCAGATGTCCATTGGTCACGTCACCCTCTGCTCTGGCAAAGAAAAAAGTGGCAAAACAGGGAAAAAATGTTTAAAAACTGCCCAGTAAGCAGAGCTGTCTCCAGAATAATGCTCACTGGCCTTCTGTGTGTTCCTCTCCTCTCACCACCCTCAGTAGCCAACAGGAGTTATCCTACATGGATCAGCTGGGAGCCAGTGAATGTTACTGTCCATAATCAGGTTAATCCCAAAGCAATAAAAGTTCCTGAGATGCAGAACACTGGTGGCAGTTAAAGAGCTTTTGCTTATAAAACCAAAACTCAAACAGTCAAAGAGAAAAAACCAGACTGGTGTTTGCAAAACAACTTTTAAGGACACCGAGTTGCCTTAGTCCACTTTTCTTGAGAACTTCTCAAACAGGAGGCCAGAAAGAGCACATCCTCCAAAATATGCACATGCAGACAAAAAATTCTGGCTCTACTGCTCTGAGCCACGGAACATTTTCAAAAAGAGACCTTTAGAACAGATTATTTCTTTGAACTTTTTGCCTAAAGTCTAAACCCAATGTCCTCAGGTTTTAAGTTTCAAAAGGTCACAGGGAAGAAGTGCTTTGTGGCCACACTGAAAATGAAAGCGCCGAAGGAGGGATCCAAAGGGTCAGGCTGGTTCCAAGGGACATCTGTGCTGCTGAGAAACCCAACTCAACAGAAATCATCTGCAGAACAGAGAGATGGAACACGAACAAAAAAACCCCCAAACAACCAAACCAACCGAAAAAAACCAAGAACAGAAACAGTCATTTGCAACATTATCCCTGCAAATCCCTTTAATGCTTATTGTTGATATCAAACCAAATTTCAAGCTTTTACCCATTTGAAATTATTGATACCCATCACTCCCTTTAATTAAAGGGATAATTATATATATATATTTTATTAAAAAATCAACTCTGTATTCTGTCAATACCAGGTAGGAATTCACAATTTGTGATGTTACTGAAAATCAAGATAAACGTTTCTGGAGTTTTGTTTTGTTTTGTTTCTCCCCTCTACCCAAAAAAAGTTAATATTTACAGACTTAAAAAGCCATGCTGCAGAACTGAGCTCTCTTTAAAATTATGAAGATTTCCTACAATGTATTAAAATAAAAGTAGATTTTTATTATTATAGCACTTGAATTCAGAGCTTGTTATGTCACCTACTTGCAATCCTTGTTTTTTTTTAAATAGCTATAGATGCATTGAGTGTCCCTTCACGCACAGTGACTTGTGTTGTGAACCTGATTCTAGCACCTACTGAAAACAAACTAGTAAGAAAAGAAAAAAGGGAAAAAAAAGAAAAAAAAACCAAGATTGCAGGAAGTTCTCTGAATATTCCACACAGTCCTGTATTTCCAATAGGCTTCTGAATACGTTGTCATGCAGGGAGACCCACACCAGTCTTGAGAAATCTTCTCTACAAATGAACACTATGCTGATAAGTCTCTACTTGTTGGGTGGTTGCTTCTGTTTTAAATATATAAAGAAATCTTTATAAGATATTCTTTTCCTTTTGTAGCTCTTCTCGTATGTAAAAATGTTCCACTCCTTCCCAAGGACTGGGGTTTCCACAGCCAGCGTTACAAATAAATAATTTATTACAACTGTTTGTCGCCTTCTTTCTTCAGTCGACTGCAAGAGAAAGAAAAACTCGATTTAACACAGAGAAGGGGGTGTCAGACACTTGAGGGCCAGCTCTGCCTCCCTGTCAACCTGAAGGGAACAGAGGTTGCAGGTTTTGAGCTCGGAGCCCAAAACTGAGTGTGCTGTCCCAGCACTGATAACTCTGTGTGTGCAGGGGGGAGTGATGACCTTCTGCTCCCCAAAGTGCCCCTGCCATGTGAGCACCAGCACCAGTGCCAGCTCATCAACTCCAGCCTTATCTGCAGTCCCAGCTGTGGCAGACTGGCTGTCCCTGTGGCACCAGGCCAGCAGGCAGTTCTGGACAGCAGCAGCAAGGAGGGAAACATCTGAGTAAAGCAGTGCAGGGCAGGAGTTGAATATGCTGTGCTGCTTCCCGGATATCCTGGCTACCCACACACACATGGAATGATCCCTGTGAGGTGCTGGTGGCTTTTTCTCCTCAGCTGCTGCTGTCAGTGGTCACTGCCAAACAGGAACTAAGGTGGTGTCACCCAGAACCACTCCACCATCAACATTGCAGAGCATTCAGGGGAGAAACAACTCCCAGGACTGATCCAGGCAATGCAGGACCTGTATCATTCACACACTTCAACTTCTTAGTGCCCTCAGTCATTTCTCAGGATTGATTGAATCCCCCCCCTCTTCACGAGGCTTTGCCCACCCTCCACTGCTCTCAAGGAAGAGAAAGAGATGTGGAAACAGCCATCACAGCATCACACTAAAAACCCCAATCAGAGGGAATCCTGCAATGTAAGACTCAGCTAGTCTAATCCTGTTCCAGTAATTTGGACCCTGCTTCCAATCTGCCCAAATCAGGTCTTAGCAAAGCTTCACCTGTAACTGCACCAGGACAGTGACTCAGCTCTCAGCCAGAAAGGCAGAAATTCAGAAGGAAAGAAGATGAAATGTAAAGAAATACAAAGGGATCTCCCACGTTTCCACAACGTGGGATCGTCTCTCACCTGTAATAATCTTCCTGACTTGGTAGATGCCCACCATGCATGTGAGGATGCCCGTGCAACCACTGCTGCTCCATTGCCAGTCTTTGCAGCTCTGCGGACTGGGCGTGCATGGCCTGCAGCTGGTGGGCTGCTGACATGGGAGGTGGAATGGCACCAGGCAGATCCCGTGGGTAAGGAGTACCTAAGAGAGACAGGGCCCTTTTATAGACACTTGTTTGCTACAAGGTGTGCAGAGCTGTCCCTAAAACCAACAGAACCGACCAACTGACCCTGTTGCAGCTCAACTCCCCCCGCCAGGAAAACACGACATCTCACACCAAAGGCAAGTTTTGTAAAGGACCATAAAATGCTCTCACCAAAGACTGGATGTCGGAGCATTTCATGCTCGTGAGGTGGTTGCCCTAGCAATGGGTTGGGGATGGTCCCAGGTGGGTAGGGAAAACGTGCCAAATGGGGTCCAGCTGCTAAAGGATCCACCAGCGGGTGAACAGGTCCTGCTGAGCCTTGGAAAGAAGGAAAGAAAGCATCAGTCAACTGCCTTGGGATTGCAGAGGGACTGCAAGGGAAAGGAATAACACAGCTAACACAATTCTCCCTCGGCTGGCACCTGGTCCAGAGCAGAAATTTGGGGTCATTTTGCCCTCTATTCATCTCCAATCTAAGGAGACACGTGGATTATAATGGCATTGACCACTACCCTGGAGCAAAGAACTACTTAGAGACACACAACTGTATTTTAGGAGCCCCTCACTGTATTGAACCTGCCATCCAATATTAAAGCCAAATTACTTTTCAAATACACTCAGGAGAGATCTGGCAATGGACTGACTTGGCTCTGTCTGTACCAGTCTCTCACTGCACTGAGAGGCAGAACGTACAAACCATATTTTTCTCCAGCTGGGGACTATCAGACTTACCTGCACAGAGGTGCTGAGTGACTGACTGACCTGACAACAGGTACACACATGACCTATGGCAAATTCCTTCTGCTATCTGGGGCAGGCAAACCTGCCTCCAACTGAGCCAGCCTGTGATTTCTGCATCACTCTCAGGCCACGGCCTCAAACAACAGCTTCAGAAGTGCTGACACTCAGCACTATCACTTCCTACCTGTAACCCCCCAGCCCTTAACAATCTCACAACACCCTGCTGATCTCCTTGCTGTACCATCTGCATTCTGCAGCAGCACTCAAATTCCCTCCAAACCCCCCAAAGCAGCTCTCCCAGCACATCTGATGCATGGTGCTGCAAAGCAAAGTCTGCTACATTTGCTTGCACAAACACTGCACTGGTGACCAGATGCACCAGAACCTGCACTTTAGGTACTTGGATTTTTTTTTTCCCCTTTCTTGGAAGTGACTGCACCTGGTGCCTGGCTTGTCATGTTCTCTCCAGTCTGCCACCTAAAAAATCTGGAAACTTCTGCTTAGTGCCTCATCTTCAGGACTCCAGACCTCTAGAGGAGCTGCTTTAGAAATGAGCAAGGCATCGATTTATTTTTGAGGCTATTAAACATTTCTGGAAAAAAGTTTCCAGATGTAAGAATACACCCTAAATAAAAAGATGCCAGTGCACAATTTTACATGATTCTCGTGAGAATTGTGACAGAGGATTTCAGTTCAACTAAAGCCAGATGGTTAGCATGTTCAGTGGCTAAAGAGATGAAGTTTTTCTCCAATTTGTTTTTTCAGTTCCTATATGGAAACACCGTGTCCAGTTATATCTCCTAAGGTAACAGCCACGAGCAGCAGCACTGTCACCAGTTCTGTGACACCTCTCCTAGGGAATTCCCTTCCCCTGTACACCAGACACCACTGTAAGGTGCTGCCCTAGGATGCCTGTATTTAATAAAAAACCAAACCACAAACCAGCAAACCTTTCCCAGTGACAGTGTGGAGTCTAAGTGAGCATCACTGTGGTGTTACCATCCTGTTTCACTGTTACTGGTTCACTCTCACAGAAACTACCTGCATTTCAGTTATTACCACCTTACACTATACAGAATCACACCATGGACAGTCTAAAGCTGCGCCAGGGGAGGTTTAGGTTAGACATTAGGATGAAATTCTTTACAGAGAGAGTGATCAGACACTGGAATGGGCTGCCCAGGGAGGTGGTGGAGTCACCATCCCTGGAGGTGTTTAAGGAGAGACTGGATGTGGCACTGAGTGCCATGGTCTAGTGAGCAAGGTGGTGCTGGGTCAGAGGTTGGACTGGATGAACTCAGAGGTCTTTTCCAACCTCGTAGATTCTGTGGTTCTGTGAAAACAGGGATTTTACCACTTGAACCCCGGGGTCCCAGCCTGGGGCAGACTGACGCTAACAGCTCACGGGAGGGGTTCCCTGGGGAAGGGCCCAGTTCCCTGGGCTCACCTTGGTGCAAGGGATCCTGCTGGTGTAGGTGTAGATGCGAGTGTATGTGTGAGTGCTGGTGGTGGTGGGGCGTGACGTTGAACATCTGGAGCCGTGCCAGGGGGTCGTTGGTGAGCGATGCCATGCGCTCGGCGTGGATGCGCTCGGCCGCCAGCCTGTCGGGGTAGCTCATCTCCGGCCGCAGCTGGGGCCCTGCCAGCGCCAGTCTCTCCCTTTCCAGGGGGTTCAAACCCGGGTGGAAGGAAGCGAAGGGGTGAGGTCCTGCCGTGGGTGGAATAGTCAGTGCGCCGTGCCTGGCGAAATGCTCCATGGGGTTGGTGGCCGGGTGCAGCGCGTCCAGCTCCGGGGGCTTCACCTCGAAGCCGGGCTTCATCCTCTCTCTCAACTCCCGCTCCCGGATTTCCCGCTCCCGGATCTCCCGCTCCCGCAGCTCCCGCTCCCGAATGGTGGGATCCACGTTGTAGAGGCCGGGCATGTGGTAGGCCAGGAGCGGATCCGTGGGGTTGAGGGGCACGAAGAAGGGGTGGTTGCGGTTTGTGGGTGACATGACGTGAGGCCGCGCGTACTCGCTCAGTGTCCGTAACGCGGGCGTGTCCGGCCCGATGTAGGGGGGAACAGCAGCGATGGTGGTCGGGGGAGGTTCAAATGAAGGTCTCATGTGTGCTGGCCCGCTGAGCTGGGACTCGCCAAGACGGCCCTCGTGGGAGGAGCTGGATACCTTCTGCTGCACAGAACGGGGGGAGAGAAGTTTAGTCCAACACACTCGGCTCAGAACACTGCAGGTGCACACCTCCCATCTTTGCCTCAAGCAGCCAAGTTCAGACTTTGGCTCTCTATACCAACACTGGAGTTCGGATCTCCTCATAAAGAAAGTTAATTAAGTTCACTTCAACTTTAAGAAGCCTTCAGATGCCTTTTTTCCCAGCAGACAACTCTCATGTGCCTGCACACTAGTGCAAGGGACACAAAGACATTTATTGTATCTGCACAGTGTTTTCCTACTGCAAGTAAATGTCAACACTTGGCTTCCTTCTCCCCAGCTGCTCCGGCTTCCCTCACACCAGACACAGAGCAGGAGCAGAAGCTCTCCAGTTCCTTTAAGGAGAAGACAGTCCCAGAGTGGGCTGGATACACACAGCTCCATATTCAGGAACACCCAAGTGCACAGGCATTAAAGTGCTCCTGGGATCTGCTTTCTGCAGTGACCACCCAGGTCAGACCCAACCACCAACTCCCTCCCACCGCTCTGAGCCACCCTGAACCTACCGCAGCTCTTTCCGCCTCTCTTTCCCGTTCCCGCTCCCTCTCTCTTTCCTTCTCCTTCTCTTTCTCTCTTTCCCTCTCCTCTCTGGCTTTCTGCTCCGCTTCCCTTTTGGCCTTTTCAATGGCCTCTTCTCTCTTCTTGGCCAGTTTTGATCCTGCCAGAGGCATGAAGTACAGGTCTGCTCTTGAGCATGAATTGTAGCCACGGTCCAGGTGCTTATAGAACCTGAAAGAAGCACGAGAGAAGAGCTTATCCCTGGGAAAGATGCAGGAGTCTGGGATTTGAGAGCTGTACGTCAAAAATAAAGAAAACTGTCACTTTACACTTATAAAAAGCACTAGCAGCTTCCTTGAGAGCCAGGAGAAAATTAATTGAACCATGTTACTCCACAGACAATGGAGTGTAAAACCAGAGTACAATCAGTGCTTAACTGGTGAAACTTCCATACCTGGCTGACTGACTGGCGTGACTTGGGATATCCACCACAGTGGGCTCTGGTGATGGACTCCTGGGTGGAGGGGGAGGGCTTTCTGGTTCCTCAGCTTCATCTGGGACCTCCTCTTTGATCTGGATGGGTGGCAGCGTGCAGGCTGTCACCACGGGCACCGTCCCACTAGAGGCTGCTGACGTGGAGATGGAAGTCTGGAGCGGGATGCCGGGCATGGTGGGTGGCGTGGAGGTGGAGGGGCACGAAGGAGGGGTGATGGAAGGTGGGCCCCCTGGGACAAAGGGATGCTGAGAAAAGGGGGGCTGGGAGGATACCTGATGGAGTCCAGAGGGGGGGTGACTAGCAGGAGGGGGAAGGCTCTGACTCTGGGTCAGAACGGGAGGCTGGGCTTGCGAGGACTGCAGTGGTTGGCTTTGAGGCATCAGCTGCAGAGGGGGAGGGTGTGCAGACGGAGGGTGGTGAGTCGAGAGGGAGCTCAGAGGTTTTAAAGCGGGTGGCGGAGGCAAGTTGGAGTTCATGGAGAACGGAGACGGGCCAGAGAGGTGAGGAGGGTGCTTGTGGGATGGAGCAGTGGGGAGCTGAGGGATGGGGGTGGTAGGGGGAGGTTTGATGTGAGGCATGGCCATGGGGGCGGGGGGCAGGGGCTGCTCCCGCGGGGGCTGCGCCTGCTGCAGCGAGGTGGCCGTGGGCAGGACAGGCTGTGCCACCTGCAGAGCCGAGTGGGAATGAGAGGGGGCTTGTGTCTGGAGGGGAACCTGAGACTGAGATGACTGAGCAGGCAGGGAAAACGGCTGGGAAGGTACGGGATGGGGCAGGAGGGGCTGTGCCTGCAGGCTGTGAGGGGCAGGCTGGGCCTGGCTGTGGAGGGGGGGCTGCGTGTGGGGCTGTGAGGAGGCAGGGCTGGGCTGGCTCTGCGACACGCTCAGGGGCTGCAGCGGAGGGTGGGGGGACGGGAGCCTCTGCGGGTGCAGAGCAGGGGCCTGCTGGATGTGGGAGTGAGGAGGAGGTGGGGCAGGGGCCTGGGGCTGGCTGGAGGGCTGAGATGCTGGCGGGGACACCTGCGGTGGGGCCGAGGCAGCGCTGGACACTGCGGGCAGCGACGCCGGTAACTGGGCCGGTACGGGAGGTGTGGGTGGAGGAGCCTGGCCAGAGCTGCTCTGTGCCTGCAGCACCTGGGGCTGTGCCTGCAGCACTTGCTGCTGGGCGGAGGAATCCGAGTCGCTCTCATTGTCCTGAGGGCTGGGGATGCTGGGAGAGGTGCTCCGGTTGTCCTGGTCGATGTCCTTGGGGTCGCTGCTCCCCTCGTCGTTGACGCTGCGGCTGTCGGAGCTCTCGCCCTCGCCCTCACCCTCCGAGGGGGAGTTGGGCCTGCTGATCTCCTGCAGGGAGAGGGGAACAGTCACCACTGCACCGAGGGCATCCCCAGCGTGCCACAGGATGGGACCTGTCACACAAGTGCAGGAACCCTTTGAACCTCCCAGCACAGGCAGTGTGAATATCCAAGGGGAGGGTGCCAAGACAACGGAGCCAGGCTCCTTTTAGTAGTGCCCTGAAATGCAGCAGGTTCTCCCTGAACACAGTGAAACACTTTTTCACTGTGAGGGTGACCAGCAGTGGAAAAGATTTGTCCTGTGAGGCTGTGAATTCTCCATCTTTGGAGACATTCAAAAGCCAGCTGGATATATATCCTGGGCAGTCAGCTCTAGGTGGCCCTGCTGGAACAGAGGAGGTGGCCCAGATGGCCTCCAGATCCCTTCAAACCTCAGCCATTCTGGGATTCTCTATGGAAATATGGAAAGCTCAAGTTCAAAAGCCCCAAATCCTATGTACAGAGTGAACCTGGGCAGACACACAGACACATCCTGAAAGTATTTCAACTGAGCTTTGATACCACTGGATTAAGAGAACTCCAGTGGTAGTCTTCTAACTTTCCACAGAACAGGAAAAAACAAATTTAAATTAAAAAAACAGGGGCAGAGAGGGTGGAAAATAGTCCAAGTGTACTCCTGTATGGTTGATATTGATATTAAAGCAAAAAACAACTTCTGGACTTACCCCGTATCATTCCACTGTTTTCAACAGAAGGAACACATTACAACATTGGTTCCTTTCCAGCCCCAGATTAAGTTACAATTTGCTGTGGCTTAAATTGATTTCATGTTTTTGGTTTGTTACCAGGTTTGCAACCCCCACCCCTCCCAAACCATTCTCCTAAGAGGAAATATTCCTCTGTGGGACTCACTTGAGTTTTGGATTTTTTGGCATTGGACCTGTCAGGTTCCTCTGTGTCTGACGCTGCCTTTTCCCGCTGCCTCTTGGAGTTCTTGAGAGGAGAAGACACCTCTTCTTTTATCTTCTGCCACAAGGGAAGCAGAACACAGCAGTTACCAGTGGTGTAAATGCAAAAGTAAATTGAGTGTATGCCTGTGATACCATATTTAACACAAATAAAGGAGAAGGGTTCCTATGGAGCAGGAGAACTCAGAAAATGAGACAGCCAGCATTCAACAACAACCCAACAGGCACCAAGTTAACAGAAAAAACGAGTGAATAAAGCATTCCTCTTATCAAGGGGTATTTTAAACAGAGCTGTGCAGGAGCAAGTCCACCAGGAACTCATAGCAGATCAACTGGCCCAGGTTACTCTTCTAACAGAGACCAACACCAGCTGTTAACAGAGGATGGAATAAGAATTTCTGCAGGAGACAGGCACAAGATAAGCCTCATTAAAGTCCTGCTTTACTCCTGATATTTTGAGAGGAATATTTTTAGATCCCCTCAAATACAGGGCTATAGCTATTATAAGACTACTACCTTCTTTAGTGGCCTGGGACAGCTTTATGCATCACATAATTACCCAACCTAACTAACTTCAAATTCTGCCAGGTTTCCAGTTTTATAATGTGAAAACTTGCTCCATACTCCAGTTTTGACTTTTTTTTTTTTTAAATATTTATTTTAAAACTTGCTACTTTTTTGCTTAATGGCAAGCCTTGCTGCTTCATGTGGCTTTGTTTCTTTAGAACTTCCTTGGAAAAGACACTTATTCATTGAAATAGATTCAACTGTCAGCTTTGCTCTGAAAAATCAAACAAATACACCTCCAGAAAAACAGTAACAGAAGTAGCCTCAATTACCACACATTCAAATTCTTTTGTAAACAAAGACTAAGTACTGCTTAAAAAAAAAATCCTTAAAAAACCCAAACTGTCTACTTGTCTCAAATACAGCATTTCTGAGCTGTATTGCTTCCCTGAGCTTAATGCCTGCATTTGCATCTGAAACGGGAGGATTAATTTCTCGTGAGAGCAGAAAGGTTATGTGGGGATATCTGAATGGTCTGATCAGCACCCAACCCTCTCTGCACAGGAACTCAGCAGCAGCTCAGCTGCACCGGGACACTCTCTGCTTATCCACACAAGCAGGAATTTCTAGGTCACGGGGAGATTCTCCAGCCTCCTGCCACCTCGTGTGTCTGACTGAGAGGCCTCAGGTGTGCTGTCCTAACACACAAAAGGCGTGGGAAAAGGTTACCTTGGTGGATTTTTTCACCGAGTCTGCCTTGCTGTCGTTGCTGGAGGTGCTGGCGGCGCTGGGCGAGTTGCGGCCGCTGGACCTGATGTCCTCGTTGATGGGGGAGGCTCTACCATCGGGGCTGGCTGGCTGCTTCTTCCGACCACTGCGTAGTGTAGACATCTGGGGTTCAACACAGACAAGTGTATCCAAGTCAGAATCTGCCCAACCACTTGAATTTCCTCTGCCTGGCAGCAGGGGCGTGCAGGAAGCGCTCGTGCCAAGAACTCGAGAACCAAAAACCAGGAGCGCTGTTACAACTTCTCCTGAAAGCCCATCTGGACTTCAAAGGAGGCAAATCCTTCATTTGTCTACTCAAAACCAGTAAGTGCTGATTATTTAATTTAGTAGTGTCTGTCAGAAATAAGGTTAGAAAGATGTTTCAATGCACATTTGCAAGTCTGCCTACACACAGGAGTGAATGAGACAGGAGAGGACCCTCATGTTCCACCAAAAATAGTTTATCTGTTGGCATTCAAGCAGTCAAGCCCTGGTTTAAACCCCCAGTTTGTGTGCTTCTGCCATGCAAAAAGGAGTCACAGTCAAGAATATTTCAATAATTAATGCTGTTCCCCTCCCAGTTTGGCAGTTTTTCTGGATGACTGGCTACCATAAAAGCAATGAGCCAACATTACCCCGAGAGTGGAGCCTCACAAGAGATTCAGAATCAATGGTCATATCACCATGATCACAAAGACAGGGAGAGGAGGGTAAGGAAAAGAAATCTATCTGCTGCTTTCAATCAGTCAAATCCAAATCAAAGATCAAATTAGCCAGAGCTGCTGTCAGAGCTCTCCCAAGTGATGTGCTCACAGGAAGGCTCCCAGCGTTCCACCCTGAGTAACAACTCAGGGACAGGGCACACCAATCACAGAGGCAAAACAGAGCTCTCTGCAGGGAAGACATCTGAACTCCAGTAATATGAGGAGACCACATGAACAGCATCTAATTTTTTAAAACTCTTCCCAAGGGCTTAACTCTGACAGGATCCAGCTGGAAGGAGGACACGTACTAGAACAGAATCTCTAACACACTGTCAAGTGCCCCCTTACGATGCCAGTCCACTGCCAGTCATTACAAACATGGGAATAACTGATTTGAGCTTGCAGAGACATTTCAGCTCCTTTTTCTAAAGAAAACCTCAACCTCAGCAAAGCTCACAGAGAAATGCAGCAGCAGGCCCAGTCCAAGGGAGATTAGCTCAGCTGGTGCTAAAAATGCCAAGGCCATGGGTTCAACCCCTGTATGGGCCATTCACTTCTGAAGAGTTGGACCTGATGATCCTTGTGGGTCTCTTCCAACTCAGATTATTTTGTGTGATTCTGTGGGACCAGCACGACGGAGAAAGGGTCAGTTAAGGAGTTGAGGATGAGGGCTAAACCTACCGAGCCTCGACTCCGCCGTGTCCTCATGCTATGCTTTCCACTGAGTCCATCATCTTCCTCTTTGACAGGCTTGAACATAAAGGGTGGAGGGTCAACTGGCTTCTCGATGGGTGGCAGCTCCCCGTACTTCTTGAAGTGAATCCGACAGTCCGTGCACAGCAGGATGTTCTCCCGCCCGCCGTGGTGCCAGTCCTTGGAGGCTTGGGGCAAGGAGAGCAACAGCTCAGCAACACAAAAGCACCAGGACCCCAAAACAAGCACACTGGGTTATTTAAAAAGCTGCAGTTAGAAAAGTAGCTGCTTTTCTAAGGGGTAACCAAGTTGGAGAAGTTTCTGGAGAACTTTGTCCCGTTCCAGTGCACATCTTCAGTGTTCAGTTTACAAACTAGTTGTTTGCTTGAGAAACTACAGCTTTGAAAGCAAAGAAAGAAGCCTTATCTGCTCTACCTGGGAGCTAACAGGCAGCTGTTGTTCTCCAAAGCTGTGGTTTCTGCAAGAGCAGTGAGCTGTGAACCTCTCATTTCCTTCCCTATTTTGGGGCTCACATTTCCATGCTGTGCAAATGCCCAAATATCAACCAACCTTCACAACACCCACAGGAACGGGGCTGATGCAGAAGAGATTTGGTGCAGCATAAAGAAGTCGTGTGTGTGACAGTCACAGCCCAATATTGATTCATTACATCACAAATTGATTACATAGATTGTGGATTATGGAGATTTATTCCTGTATAACTGTCTACCCCAGGGTTCTCCTTTGTCACTGCAATATTAATTTGCAATGGCAAAGCCTGATTAACTCGGCAAGGAATGCTGCATATTTTAGCTGATTCAACCCCACATTTTTTTTCTGAACAGCTGTACGAGCACACAAACTGCTCCTGCTTGAAGGAACCCACACAAAACAGGCAGCAGAAGGGAAAGCCAGCAGTGAACTGGGACATACTGGTGGTGAAGCAGTGGCGGCAGGCGTAGCCCTTCAGCTCCTGTTCGCTGTCCTCGCTGTCAAAGTCATCTTCACTGGCCGAGCTCAGGTCCACTGAACAAGTGAAGAACAAGGGGAAAAAGAGGGAAATGGAAAATAAAACACTCAGCAGGATTTTCTATTTCCTCTTACTTGGCTAAAATAACCATTAATAAAAATAGCTGGTGACTTCCTACAACCACCCTGCCTTGCACGGCCATTAGTTCTGATTTTTCAAACTAGGCAAGGCCAGACCTCATCAGCCTCCAGGTTAAAGGAGGATTCCAGGAACGTGCCAAGTGACACAACTCACAGAACCTGATTCAGTGCATGGTACATTTCCAGATAAATTGTCATTCAGCTGTCATTCGTGGGGAGCTGGAGAGGCTCTGTTCCAAAAACACAATTTTCAAGAGAAAAGAGGTTTCTCTCTAGAACGTGTTCAAATTTAAAACCTAGTATTCTATACTTAAAACCTACTTTGCTACATTTAATGAGCAGACACTGTGGTGGCTTTTGTGTTTTTTATTTTGTTTCCAGACTTCAGCCTTCCAGCCCAGCTGAGGACCAATGTCACGCTCTGTTAGACACTGGCTGTATTTAACCAGGAGCAGATGTGTTTGTGGGTGGAAGAATCAATGCTTACATATAATGGACCTGTTTGGAAAACATGCTGTGATTCTTTTGGATGAGAGGTACTAAAGGACACCACCAGCTTTCCAATCCTTACTCAAGCCTCAGAGAGCTTCAACCCGTGGCAAACTCACATTTCAAAACCACGTTTCAAAGAAGAGGAGGAGATGGAGAGGGCCCCTTTCCTTTGTGGCAAGCAGTACACAGCAAATTAGCAGATTAAAAGGCTGTGAGCAGAAAAGCAGCATCTGAACCACTGAAAATCTGCAGACACCACAAAAACTGTATCTTATCTTCTAAGCAAGTCAGGAGTAAATCCTTTCTTTCTGAGAGCGCTGCGTTTTTCAAGCACCACCACTATAAATTCACAACATAACAGGTCTGTAATTTGTCACAAGCAGAAAGCCCTCTGGCTTCTTTTGTTCTAATCCTTAATTAGAAGAGAAGTCCTTGATGCAAGAACACTGGTTTTCTAAAGGTTCCAAGAGGGTGTTTTGTACATGCAGGTTACAGCTTATGGATTATGGCTTATGGATTCTGCAGTAGTTGCCATCAGCATTTGTCAGCAACTCGTTACCCTTCAAATTAACACAGGGCCCCATCTAATAGCAGCACCACCATAATCCCCACAGTAATTCCTGCAGGTGTTTAAACCCTGACTGCAAAACTGACCCCAGGCTAGGACTTGCTTTCTTTGACTGAATTGATTTTTATTCTCATCCTGCACTCGGATCCATATGGACAGGTCCTTCCAACCACAAGCTCTGTGATGTGCTGACTATCTTGGATTGAGTTGTAGAGTACAGATCCTCACTTCTTGTGCACACAGAAATCAGTAATAAATCCTATCGATTCAGCAGGGAAAAACTAACAGCCCTTTCCTACCACCTCACTACCACCCTCTCCAGAATTCTGTCCTGCCTGATCACCACATCCTCCACCTCCCCCACATTCTGCCTTCCACACAGTCCCCTTTCTTTACAAGGCACATAGAAATGTGCTGGGTTAGTCCACAGAACGACTCTAAAGCTCACAGGGTAATTAGTACAAAGCCTTTTATATAAGGATAAAAGTTTCTATCTCCATATGGATGTTGCTGATCATAACCCTGTGCAAGGCAGCACATGCAGCTCATTTGGGGAACTACTCTTTGTTTGGACACTTCTGCTCCAGGCAAGGCCAGTGTTCTCCCAGGATACCCTGAGACACAGTGCTGGACACAGCACCCACTCTGAGATCCTGCAGAAGGTGAGGGTCACCCAGGAAGGATGGAAGGGACTTCCTTCTTTCTGTGATTCCCAATTCCCGATACTGTAACAAGCCTGGATAAAAATACGACACAACACCAAGAAAAGAGCAGGGAAATTCAACACCAGGGCAATATTTCCATCCTTCCAGGATGCTTTTATGTTGAAGAACTGCACAAAGCACTGGGTGATCAAAGCCGCCTTCCACATTCCAGCATAATGGCGCAGGAACGGGAGAGGGCAACTGCCTGAACTCCATTTCCTTGCTCCGTTCCCTTGAAGGTACAGCACCATTACGTGGCTGTTGCTGCCTGCATTTAGACAAAGATAAATGCATTGCTTTTAGCTCCCACTTACAGAATTCACTGGAGGGGGGCCTGGAGGGAGTGTTGACTGGAGTGGAAGCAGTTCGAGTTTTAATTCTCCGAAACACAGCCTGCCTCCGATGCCTACGGTGGGCTCGAGAACTTGCTGCTTCAGGGGTTTTCTTCCAATAGTAATAGAAGGTGATTAGTTCTCCCTGCAAACACAGAAGGAGTATGTTAGAGGGACATGCAAATCTGACTTGTCAGCTTTCTCCCTCCCTCGTGCCTCTCTGTGTGCACACATGTATTTTTCTAGGAACAATCACGAGGTACTTCAGCCAGATGAAAGAATTATTCAGTAAGACAGAAAATAAAAAATCCTCGTTATTTTTTGTCTGCTTTTGCAAGGGAGGAAAAGAAGTGAATGAATGGTTTTCACTCCTTGTCTAGAAAAGGAAAGAGGTTGGGGAGCACATATCCAGGCTCCAGCTGGATGCTGCAGGCACTGCTGGTCCTGGGATACAGAAGAGGGTGCCCTTGTCTCACTGTCAGCATCCTGTGACACCTCTGCTCTGCTCAGGAGAGGGACAACCTCCCACTGAGTTCTGAGAACAGACATCACGAAACTGCTACAAACCCTCTGACACAAACCCTCTGACGTTCACAGCAAGAGTAGGGCTCAATCCAAACAGACACTGCCATTTTGTCAACCTACACTCCACATACAGCTATTTTTCCAATATTCCTGTTTAAGAAGCTGAAAGTCAGAAGGAAAACGTGTTCAACAACAAGTCTGTAACCGTAACACAACCCTACTACAGTAAATCGTGTTTTAATTTGAATATATATGCCCACATCTAAATTAATTAAGCAGTTAAAAGAGCACACCTAGAGAAATGAGTGATAATTTCACAGCATAATGAATCTGGCTTACATTCAAAAAGTGGAGCAGCTGCCATTCAAACTGGAGGATGTAATGCTGAACCAAAGAACAGCATGTGGTTTTAATCTCTTTTCTCTTACTTTGAATCCCCATCATTTCCTGGCGACTTGTCTGCCTCTGAGGTAAAAGGTGTTGTTGCTTTCAAGTTGCAAGAGGAGAACGGAGAAGTTCTAACCAGCCTCTCGAAAAAAATCAACATCAGAACAAACATACCTGAATTGCCCACAAAAAGGGCTCCTTTGAACCATGTTTTTATGTGATCAAATAACCTCAGCCTGCTCCCTCCGCGGGGAAATCCTGCAGTCCCTGCTCAGGGCAGAGCAGGGAGTTAACTTGGACCTGAATCCAAACCTTCCCAAACAAGCAATTACAGCCACACTAATACCTGGACCCCTGAAACGCCCTAAAGACAAAAGGAGGATGTTGTTCTAAACATTAACTGCTGATATTTAACATGCTTAAGAGTTTTATCAATGCCTACTTTAAAAATGGAAACCCCAGAAAGAAGAACACAACCACAACTGTGATTTCTGGCACCAGGCAGAAATAGATAATTTTTAATCTGAGCTGCTGCAGATTGGGATGATGGTGCTGATCCTCACCAGCAACCTAAACAATATTAATGTATTATATATTAAAGTAACAAGAATTCAGAGTGGTAACTGGTGAGGAAGAGGAGAAAGGAGCAAGTGGGCAAAACATTACCTACAACTGCTGATTCTGAAGCACAAACGCCCTACTAAAAAAAAATATTTAAAAAAATAAGTGTTTCCTGAAGAGAATTCAAAACTGGCTGGCAATGAGTACCCAACTATGTCAGACTGGGACAGAACAAGGAGTTCTGACCCCAGCACCCTGCTCTGCCACTGCCTGTTCCTCGTGTTTGCTTTACAAATACCATTTCCCTGAGTGCACTCAGTGGGCTCAAAGTCCACCTGGCCCCACTGTTTGTCCAACAGGGATCTGCCCCGTGCCAGAGGCAGGCACAGCTCTGCACAACAGCTTATGCAATGCTCTTGCAAATGAAACCAGCCACTTTTAGCCTATAAATTCATTTATATCAAATCTGAGGTGTCAGCACCAAGGAGCAAGTCAGTAAATCCCACATCTTTATGTCAGTGAATTAATGTGTCCTCTGACACCTGGCAACAGCAGAGTGCAAACCAATCTGTTCTCCTCCCATCATAAAATAGGGAATGGGAACCTATTTGAGCTCAATTTACACATTGCAAAGCCATCAGGTCCCAAGGGAAGTTTAACAACTCGTATCATAAACCAAACTTTAAAAAAGAAATGCTGTGTATTTATTAAAAACGTTGACTTCATGATCACAAGGCTTTTCCCCCCCCCCGAGACCCTCCCGAAAGTGCAGCCACAATCACATGCAGATAAAGATGAAGTAAAAGTCTATTTATTCAACAACCAGTTAACCCAACTATGAAATCTGGAGAGATCAAACGACCAAAGAATGTTCTGTACTTCAAATTCAGTGTTGGGCTGCACAGCTACAACACTCAGTAAATGACTCTGAAGTAAGAGAGAGGAAGCACACAGAGAATGGCAACATCACACACGGGTCACACAGGTACAACAAATTCCATGCCAGCTCTTATTAACCACCTGGCTACCTACCGGGGCATTGTCTACCTCAGGGATTAAAGGCTGGAGTGGAGTGAGCCTGGCAGGATTAGACCAAGCTCGCTGGTGGCTGCATGGGTGGCACAAACTCGAGCACAAAGGAGTAAGTCAGGGCAGCTTTGGTTCTCCAAACAGGGAGTAAAACCAGCTTCCAGCAAAGAAGTCAAATGAACTTTAATCAAACATGCAGAGTGCGTGCTGCTGAAAGCCACGGCACATAAATTCGGGAACAAAAGCCGCAGCAGAAATCAATAGCCTCCTGAAACATTAACACAGGCCAGCATTGATCAAAGGCCCCGTGACAAAAGGCTGCCTTGCAAATTAGCTGCTGGTTTTGCTTGCAAGCAAACAGAAAAGCATGGACGCTCTGACATGAATGGCCTGTAATGATCATTTTGTTCCTGGTGATCTCACCTCACCTCACCACAAGGTCTCGCAGTCAACACATCCCACGTCTCGGAGCTGTAATTGCCAGCAGAGACACTCTGTTGGCTGGGGGAGGGCTGGGGGAGGGCTGGGGGCAGCTGCTCTCCCTCGGATTTTCAGGGTAGCAGAAAAATCCCGGGGAACAGTCCTAACCCCAGGAGCCTGAAACACGCTGTGTGTCTCCTCTGAAGTGTTCTGTGCCAGGAACTGGGTATTGCTAAACCATGCACACTAAAATCACACAGGTTAAAGCAGACTGAGCCATCCCTCACTGCAGCATTAGATTCGTCCAACTCAGGAGTGACCCCCCCTAATGAGATAAATTAAGGAAGGGTGAGACCACTGAGGCAACCACTACCTGGCTGATGATGGAAGAGAAACTTGTGTTGCTGACACTATAATTGTCCACTTGCACCTTTACTTACCTATAAATCTAGTATGTTAGAAGGAAAATCCCAATAAAATGACCCACACATCTACTCCAACACCACCCCTCAAACAAGCAGCTCTAAGTCCTGTACTGTGCCACATCCAAGAAAGATGCTATTAGTGCCCTCCCAGATCAACTCCATCATGGCCCAGCTTTTTCTTTTCCATCTTTGTGGGCAGAAGATTCATCTCTTTTCCTGTCCATAGGAACAGCCTCACCTCCACTTGATGCACCACCACCTCTTTTTTCCTGCAAACACAACTGCATTTTTCCATGTTAATGTCTGATTAACTGTCCCAAGCAATTTAGGAAACATATAAAATGAGAGGCATTATCCAGGCTTCTAATGCCACGTTTCCTCAAGAACACCTACTTTCCCACCACTGAAGTTTCACAAGACAGAGGGGGGGTGTTCTTCACTAAAACCACAGTTCAGCTTCCATCAATTCTGAAATACATCCAGAGCTCAAGACAAAAATCTCCTGCCAAGGCCATTTCACCCCACGTTGTTGGTGCATATAGAAAAGTCACACTTTATTCTCCTTTTAGCTCTGTTCTAGGGATCATTTTTGCAGAGAAAGACGTGGTTCAGATCCCTCTTGCAGGAGGACACAGCAGTGAGACTTTCTCTGCGATTCGGAGCTGACACAAGACTTTGAGTGTCCCACAGCCCTCATCCCCCTAACCCAGCACTCCTGCACGAGTAGGGGATGGATTCCTTGGCATGTGGCACCTTTCTCTGACCTCTCCCACTGTTTTCACCCCGGTGTTTGTGCAGTTCAACCCAGCTCCCCAACCCACATCCCACAGCACCAGGGCAGCCTCACCAACCAACCTTTACACTCCCATGGGCGCCAGCGAACCTGCAAGTCCTGCCTTCCCACTTCTTATCGGTGGTTTTCAAATGTAAAATACAACACGTGAGCTGTGCCCCGTGTTTGTGTTTAGTCTTGCCTTGGGTAAACAAAGGATTAAGGCTGTGTGTGCATTTCTGGATTGGAGAGGTTCTGACAGCCCTGCAGCAGCGCTGCTCCTGTGGAAGCCAATCACACACATCAACTTACCTTCAAGTATCTGTTATGGTATAACAGAGTGAGCAAACATAATAATTGCTGTTTAATTTCCCCAGAGCCGAGCTCTGCCAGGGGGGAGAAAAAAAAAAATCCTGGGGGTGGGGAATAGCTTTACAGTAATTAAACAGAAAAGGTAAATGACAGCGCTCCTCAATGGCTATAAACCAGCCATGGCAGAGCACAGGGGAACAGATTGTCCAGCTGTGCCCTTAATGAATTCACAATCTTTCTGGAATGCATCAAGATTTTATTAAGTCAACTCAATTTAGCTAATGCTCCTTAAAGTCCTGCAGTAAAAACAGTCTCCAGCGCTTCCCTCCTTCACTGGATCCCTGGCTTTGACAGAGTCTTGCTCCAACATCTGCTCCAGTGCCTGTTTGCCACGGGGTGGATCAAGAACCTGGAGTTTTGGATAATGGGAAGTGTATGGAATCAGTACAGACCAGTGTATCCATCTGGCACCTCCAGGCTGCTTCCCAAAACTTTACAGAGTAACCCCAAATACTGCCAGGCACTGCTGGACTGGGAGACAGAACTGGAGGTTCTGACCCTTCCATCCAGAGCTGCCAAGGGAAGAGGCTGCCCAAGGGAGTGGTGACATCATCATCCCTCAAGGGTTCCAAGAACACATGGATGTGGCACCTGGGGACTGTGCTGGGTTAATGGCTGGACTCTCGATCTCAAAGGGCTTTTCCAACCTTCAGG